GGCATGCAGTGTGTGCTGTGGTGTGCTACACAGGTTCTCCTTCAGGCCTGTGCCTTGTGAGATAACACGAGATCCCTCAGATCAGAATCCCCCCCCCCCCCCGCCTTCCCTCCTGGCCCCCAGAAAGCTCCCTAAGTTGCAGTATAACCCAGCTCTGGGGAAGGAGAGGAACTAGATCCCAAAGGAGCTGTAAAAACATACATGCAGGTGCAGGGAGAGTGTACCTGGGACCAGGTCTCAGGGCTAGATCAGGAATAGTGGAACATCCGGGTGGAATGGGAAGGTTTGTTGCAAGGTGAGCATTCTCCATGGATTCAACTCCCTGACCAGGAGACAGATGGCTCGTGGCCTCTTGGGGAAAGCGGTGGTTACACAAGGTGAAGCAGACGTGTTATGGTAGGTGGCAGACAAAGGGCTCAGAGGATGGGCCTGCAGGGAGGCTATTCTTTATAAGGCTGGAACCTTCCCCTGCCCATTCCCAGACTATGTTCCATAGGAGGGCCCATGAGATACTCCATGTCCCCAAGCCATAGGAAGTCCTGGTGGAGGGCACCAGCCTTGTCATAGCTGTCCTCTATAGGTCATGGCTGACAGTGGGGGATATGGTTATAGAACTGGCCTCCCCAACAGCAAGGGAGTTGACAGGATCCTGGGGTAATAGAGGCCAGGGGGTAGCCCTTAACTCAAACAGAGTGGACGTCATGATCAAAATGAGTGGCAAGGTCAGAGTAGCAGCAGGGGGCCTGGCCTGTGGACGGTTTGGAGATAGTTAATAGAACCATCTGTTAGGCCAAGATAGATGGGCAGCTAGAAAGGGTATTATTCAATTCATATATTAAATAAAAAAGGATGGATGATCACAAGAGCAACCATCTCCTCAAACATTGTGATATCTTGCTCAGTTTCCAGTCTGAGCCAGTTTTCATGCCAAAAATCCACTGACTGAAGGAGAGGCTGGGTCCCAGGAAGATGTGTATAAAACAATCACTTCCAAACTTTCCCCAAAGGGACCCGCAACCATTTACATGGTGGAGGGAAATAGACGTTTAGAGGGCTGCTGATGCACACAGGATCCGAGTTGACTTAGACACCAGGACCCAGAGCGAAGGGGGATGGGGTTCAGATAGTAGATGGGTCCTGGCCCAGGTTTGGTGAGCCCAGTGGGTCCATTAAGCCACCTGGTGATCGGTTCCTCTGTCCCTGAATGTGTACTTGAATGGATGGATGTGGTCCTTGGCCCATGGGGTAAAGAGCCATTGTGGTGGGGAAGGCCAAGTGGAAGCCTGTGAAACTGCCTCCCTCTCCCCAGGTGGGGCAGTAAATCAATAGCAGTATTGCTGTTGAGAATGGCATATTTTAATGTCATGTTTAAAGACCTAAAGAATGTGGCAGTGGCTGTCCCCATCATACCCTCTTTGCACTTCATCAGTGCGGTCCCTACCAAACTCAGAATGGATCCTGTCAGATGACAGTGGACTACCACAATTTTAACCAAAAATTAGCCCCAAATGAACTGCTATGCCAGAAGTTAGAATCTTTGCTGGAGCAAATTGACATGGTTCAGATGCAAGGTAGATGGCCAGTGACTGGGGAATGCATTCTCTTCCATCCTTGTCAGAAGGGAGGGGCACAGCTGTTCACATTCATGTGCGACAGACAACAGTGTCTATTGGCCTCTTCCCCAGGGCTGATGTTAACTCTCCCGCTCTCTGTTAGGATACAGCCTGAGAGGGCCTGGTTGGTAGAGACCTCCCCAGAGAACCCACATGGATCCACTCTATCTGTGACATTGTGTTAATCAGACCAGTCAAGCGAGACGCGGCAAGTAGACTGCAGGCCGTGGTAGGATGTGTGCTGTCTTGGTGGGGCAGATAAGCCCCAGGAAGAGTCTGGGAGGTCCTCAGTGAGGTGTCCAGGAGTCCAGTGGTCAGGGGCATGTCAGGACATTCTCTCTAAAAGGAATGCCTATATTGCATCTTGCTTTCCCTAACATCGAGAATGAATTACAACCAGTGGTAAGACCCCTTGGCAGTACAAGGAGACTCATTTCCTTGCAGTAGGACCAAGCCCAGTGGAACAGCAACGTGTGCCAGTCTGGATATGAGAACTGCCGGATGGTCCCTGCTCTGCACCTCTCCTTCTCCTCCTCTTCAAATAAGGCATGTCTATGCAGGTATCCTGTGCCTGGCCCACCATTTTTCTTGGGTGTCTAGGCAAGGGAGATGTCTTTTTTCACTGGTTTTCAGATCCAGAGCTCAAGGACTTGTGCCCGGGGAGCCAGCCTGGAGGAGCCCCCTCTGCACGGACGTCTGACCCAGATGGTAGGATCCTGGACTCGAGCCTGATGCTGGGGTGAGATGGGACTCTGGTGTGGGGGGGTGCCTGTGAGGGTTAATATTATACGTCAGCCTGCCTGGGCTAACGGCTGCCCAGGTGGCTGGTGAAGTACCATTTCTGGGTGTGCCTGTGAGGGTGTTTTCAGAAGAGATTAGCTTTCCTGAGTCCCCAGCTTGCAGACGGCAAATGGTGGGACTTCTCGGCCTCCATAATCATGTAAGCCAGTCCCCATGATAAATCTCCACCATGTATATATTGGTTCTGTTTCTCTGGAGAACCAAGACTATGCAAGGGATGTGTGTGAATCTTCTAAAAATGGCCACAACAACATTTGCCATCCTACCTGCTCTTCTAGAACCTTGCCACACCCCTAGAAAGAGGCAGCCTTTTGTCTCCTCCCTGTAAACTCGGGTGGGCCTTTGTGCCTGCCTCACAACCAGAGTATGGTGGAAGTGATGCTCAAGACTTTTGAGTTGTCACACAGCTGACGCACCTCTCACGAGTGTCCCTGTGTGCTCTCTCGGGTGTTTGCCACTGATACTCCACCACCACGCTGCAGGGGAGCAAGCAGCCCCTCGGGGAGGCCTCTTTTAGGTGTTCTGGCTGGCAGCCCCAGCTGGCATCAGTGGCCAGATGTGCAGGCGTGTGAGCTTCGGATCGCTCCAGTCTCTGCTTGTCCTTTAAGCCACCCCAGCAGAGATGAGCGCCCCCCCCACCTACCCCCTGCCCAAATTGCAGAGTTGAGACGACTCTACAGGGCCCTCCTGGTCCCAGAGCTTCCTGTGGGATTGGCTGTGGGTGTGGAGAGGTCACGTGTGAGTATGGAGACCAAGGGGGAGTGGTCAGGGCCAAAGACGTTCATCTGGGAGATACCAGAGTGTGCGTGGTTTTAAAAGCCGTGGGTCCAGGTGCTATGCCCTAGGGAGCAAGTATACAGAGGGAAGGGCGGGAGGGCTGAGCTCCTGGCACTGCATCACCTAGGTGGCTGGCGGAGAAAGGGGAGCCAGGAGGGATGTGAAGAAAAGTTAGGAGAGGACGTGCCCAGGGCAAGGGCTGTTGGAGCTGGAGAACAGGACACGAGGATGTCTATGCAATGTGACACCATGAGGCCATCGGTGACCTGTCAAGAACAGCATTAGTGCAGAGCCAGGGCCGTGGGCTAGAGAGTTCAAGACAGGAGCGATGGAGACAGTTTGGAGTGTTTGAGGGGCAGGAGGACGGTGCGAGGGCTGGGCACCACTTCCTCGTTAGGCAGAGAAGGTGGACACAGATGCAGATTTTTGCCTAGAAGCAAAAACACAGGAGCTTTTGCTGAGACCTTTTGTAGAGGGAGAGCACTGCTGTAACAGAGTCCAACCCCAACCCTTTCAGTCTGCGTCTAGAAGGTCCATCAACAACCCCCCTGGCCTTTCCCTGCTTGGAGCTCCTGCTGTTCTCTCTCATTCCCCATCGTGTAGGGCTCCAGCCTCCCACGTAGGTCTTGTGCTCCTTTGTGTTCGCTGCGGTCCTAGGAAGTGCATGGCCCGGACGGATGCCCCGACACCTGCCTACGGGGGGGCCTGTCAGTTTCATCCGACAAACCAGAACCGCTGAGGGCCACCCAGGAATCGAAGCAGCTTGTGAAGAAATACATGCCACCAGGGCTGTTAGAGTCACCCCCAGATGGATCAGGACACTCAGAGGAAGGAGAAGGTTCTAACAGGTCCCGGAGGCAGGTGGGTGATAGTTCTTCAGAATGAACACAAACTACAGGTTTCCTAGCAACCAGAGGGCTGGGGGCAGTGTGCCGTCTGTTTAAACCGTCTTTATTTAGTGAAATTTCTGATTGCTGCTCCAACCTTAATAGAAGGCTAAGTCCTTGGGTGGGGAGCTCTGTATCCTGGCTCGAGGAGGAGGAGATGGGGCCCTGTCTCCCCAAGCTGTGGGGTCCAGTGGCTGCTGTCATCCCGCTGTGATGGTCTGGTGTCCTGGGAGAGGGGTGCGGGCCAGGGCTCACCCCCACCCCTGCAGGAGGAGGGAAGCTGCGAGGAACGTCTGCAGGGTTGTGGGGTAGTGGGGAGCTAATGGTCGCAGCGCCCCTTCCAGCACGGCCAGGGCCTTGCTCTATAGCATGGCTGCTCTGAGGCAGATGGGCAGACACAGCTGCCAGACCTTAGCGTCCCCACCCATGCTTTTGCAACCGCACAGGGATGAGGCCCAGGACTGAGTGATTTGTGAGTACTCGCTCGGGGAGACACAGCCACCCGCCAGAACTGCATTTACCAGTGACCTCTGACCCAGCTGTGGTCAGCAGGCTGCGGCTCATGCCAGGTGACTGCCGCGGTAGGGAAAGACACAGCCTCCCCGGAGGGCCTGGCTTTCGTCTTTTACTTCACAGACAGCTTAAAACTGTTATGGAAAAACATTTTATTACACGTATTCAACTTGCTTCCAATGAAATGATTAATTTTTCATGTATAATGGTATCCAATGTTTGTCTTCTGTTTTTTTTTTTTCCTTTCAAAACCAGCACCAAAAAGTAAAACAAAAATACCATGGGTGTACAGTACGTAATGTCAGTTAACTAATGGAAAATATATACATTTGACTGAAATGAAAAAAAAAAGCAATGCTATTATTGCCATGGAAGATCTTTTCCTGTGTTCTGATAATACCAAGCCGTGGTCAAGTGAGAGGGTTTTATTTTGCACCAATAGAAATAGCACCATAGGATCTAGTTAGTCTAGTTAGTAACACACATGTGCAACCACAAAGGTACAGTACTTGAGTGACAGTACAGGGTGTTAACAAGACAGAAACATCACTGCTATCATCACAGTTTCAATGTCTCCGTAAAAAGTGGAACAAGAATGTCATGATGGTTTCACTGAAATAAATCATCGCTGGTGCCATAACATGAAGGCAGCTGCTGGGTTTCAGAGGGACAATGCTAGCGTGAGCGAAAGGAGCTCAGAGAGACGTGGGTTTTGGGGAACCAATGTGGCGTTTGCCAATAGCCAAATCAATCATTTGCACCTCTGAGGGTATGGGGCCCCTTGCCCAGGAGTCCAGTGGGCCTGGCCAGGGGGCAAATGCAGAGGTCTCAGGGAACATGCCCACCTATGGGCATGTGCACGTGTTTGCTCAGTCCTGGGGGCTCCCCTGGGCCTGTGCAGGGGAGCCAGCAGGGCTGCCCCTTGGCTCCAAAAGGCTAATGTCTTTTGGTGAATTAACAGCTCCTTTGGAGCTGGGGGAAAATTGAACCCCAGCTCCCCAAGAATTGGAGGGCATTGTGGGTTCAGGGAGGCTGCTGGTGGCCAGGCCTGAGCTGGGGAGGACAGTGTTTGCACAGGCCCTGGGGTGGTAAGAGCTGGTGGGCTACCTCACAAGAGTGGGCCACTCCATCCTGACATTCTCTCAGTTCTTTCCACAGAGCACCTAAGGAAGTTTCTCAATACTTCTCGTTGATTCAAGTGGAACTGAATAAATTCCCTGCCATCTCTACCACTTCTCTGCCTCTGGGGTATTAAAAACTCAAACCAAAAACACAGCCCATAAGACAGGGTTGAGAAGGCAGAGAGGTTTTAAGCTAACCCTAAGGTTGTGACATCAAAAAATAAAAATAAACATAAACACAGCACCAATAAATCAAGGAGCCCTTGGAGATGATCCCATGGAACTTAGCCCAAGTGAGATCCTCTGTCTGAAATCGGGGAGGAGAAGGCGGGTTTCTCATGGTAAAGTCCTAGAACATAAGCACCCATGAACTGCCCACCAAGCTGGTGAGCAAAAAAGGCCTCCTGGCATCTAGGGCCCCTGCTCCCAGCCTGCCTGGCCTCCAAGGGCCTTCTGTGCTCTCAAAGAAGCCACCCTGGCTATGCCTCTGGGCTTCTGGAGGGGACAGAGCTCTGTTGTCAGGGGGCTGTAGGAGGGAAAGACCTTCCTCATGCCTTCCTGGGTATCACCCTTGCCCCAGCAGGAAGAGGGGTCAGTAATGACAGCCATGAAGACAATGGGCACTGCAAAGCCCAGGCTCCGGGAAGGCTCGATGGGCGTGCATCGGTCCCAGCCAGGCGGTAACCCTTTGCTGGTCCGGGCACACTGTGCGGAGACGCCCCTGGAGGAAACTTACCCTGTGCCGGGATGAAGCAGTCGGGCCTGCCTGTGCAGGTCCCAGGCCTGCGCTTGCACTCCCGGAGGTCCTAAACGTACTCTTAACTGCAGAGAGGTGGCTAAGGTCAATGGAAAGCCACTGGGATTCGACACGGCATCTTTGTGGTGCGAGGCTTCGCGAAGAGCTGGCTAGCGTGGATGGCAGAGGGGAAGGCCCATGAGCCCCCGACAAAGCTGTCCTGGGCTGACCTTCACTTGGGGAAGCAATCCTGTCACCACAATCAGCACGTGTCCCCTTCCACAGCACCTTGAAGAAAGGCTCTGCCGCTTCCCTATGTGGTGGACAGCAGAGCTCTGAGAAATAGATGCTTCCCCAAATCCAGAGCCTTCTGGAATATTCTCCCCACGTGGGTGGTGTAGAGAACTTACAACATGGCTCTGGTGTCCTCCTTGGCCTACGCAGATTTAAACACCCAGGGACAAGACTTCCACAGCAGGGCCCAGGATTCAGAGAATGTTCTGATGGGTAGAGAGGCACCGTCCTGATTCTTGTGCGATCAAGAAGCAGCTAGACGAGAAGGAACGTGGGCTCCGGGGAAGCCAGCGGCAGAGGCTCGCCAACATGTGTCCTTCCATCCAGGGTGTCGCAAGGGCTTTCAGAATAAAGCCTCTCTTAACGTAAAATGTCTCATTTTCGGGATGTTCCTTCCGTGGTACGTCAAGCACTGGGACTTCAAATGTCAAAAGCCAAGAAGGAAGCACCAAATGACGTCTCTCTCTTTTGACAACTGTCTGACAGAGGTGTTCCCCTTCAAGGTACACGGAATCTTAGAAATTATAATTATTTTGTGACTCATGCCTATTTTTTCCTTACTGTAGAAAGCCATCCAGTGGCTGTCAACAATATATTAAGTACAGAAGCGCTAATGGCAAACATCAAGTCCACGCTCAAAGTTCTATGACGTTGGATTCTCGGGGCAGCCTTGCGGGGGAGCGGCCGTGGGGCTGGTGCACTCGGCTGGGCGGGCTTCCCGCCGGCTGAACGCCAGGCCTCAGACCTGAGCATTGCGCAACCCCCGGGCTGCGCGTCATGAGCTCGGTGGCGGCAGCTGGCGCATCTTGTTTGCATAGAAGTCCCTGCAGGTCTGGCAGCAGCGCTGGTACCACCTCATGTCCTGGCAGAGGTTCTTTTCTCGGATGACCCGGCAGTACACCGTCCACTGATCCCGTGTGCATTTGTAGGTCAGAGCAGCTAAGGGGATGGCAGAGAGAACACCCAGGGTTAGGGGTGGCATGGGCACGTTGGTCACATGCACAGAGAGGGCCTGGGGTCTGACAGTTGGGGCTCCTGCACCTCACGCACATGTCAGCCTTGTGCAGACTGATGAGGCTGCACCCCCTGCCAGGGGCACTGGGGATGCCACTATCTGGCGCAAGGGCACACTCTGCGTCCAACCCAACTGCGTGACTGAGTGTGGCAGCCTGGCTGCCTGCTTCTGAGCTAGCCACCACTCACTGTTATTTTGTGGCAGAGGACACTGTTACTGGTGGCATTTATTAATATTAAAACAAGATGACATGGAGCAGAAGACATCAAAGGAACCACAAAAGCACAAGGTCAAAGTACGAACAAGTGGCCCAAACATTCAGGGTCTTGGTCATGGAGAGAGAAGGCCCTGCTCAAAGGAGGTCTCTAGGGGACGCCTCGTAGGCCTGTGCTTACTGCAAGCTGAAGGCCGCCTCCCCCAACGAAGATGCTTAGAAACTCCTTCGTGTTGTGAGTTTCCAGTGTTAGGGAAATGGTTCCCAGGGATTTCTATTTGGAAAAGCAGTAACTCTGTTAAAAGGAACCACCAGGTCAATATTAAATGTTCCTCTTCTCTTCTCGCACCACCGCCGGCTCAGGGCATGGACTGCTAAAAGGGCCAGATTCTGAGTACCTGGGGCCACGCTGCCCAGTACGTGTGGCCCCTTAACCGAATCCAAACTTCCCTTAGGGGTTTGTTCTGTAACATCTGTAAAATTTGGATTCAGTCTAAAGGCCGCACTAAAGGCTCCAGAAGGCCACATGTGGCCCCAACGCTGCAGGTTCCCCGCCTCAAAGCACCAACGTCTCCACCGTGTGTGTCTGCGTCCCAGGCGTCAGCCTAAGGGACACTCCACGTGTACGTCCTCAGGGCCTCATCCGTGATGCCCCTGGCTCTTTCATTTCCAGAAAGTAGTACTTCCCTTCACCATCCTCATACACAGGGACCCTAAAATGTTTGAGGAACATCTCCTGGGTTGGCAGAGCGGCCAGTGGGAGGCTCCCGGTGCTGTGTTTGAGATGGTGGTTAACAAATGTCTCATGATACGGAATGGAATTCTATCTCTGAAACCTCTTCTGTTCTGCAGAACTGACGAACATTGGCCTTCTATGACAAATATGGACCGAGAAGGGAGCTTTCTGGCTTACAGAATGTCACCACCTGTGGGGACTGGCTGGGGGACACAGTACTCCCCAGAAACCGGGGCCAGTGAAGGTACTCACCGAGGCGAGGGGAGGTGATGGTGTTGGCGTTGATCTTGTCGTTGCAGACCTCCTGGTAGCACTGTCTGTAGGCTGCTGGCTTTGACAGGGCGGGACACTCGCTGCCGTGGCGCCCGGTGACCTTGTGCATGCACTGCACCACCCGGGACTGTAGGCCCTTCCCGCAGGTTGACGAGCACTGCGGGGGGAGAGATGGCTTGAGCTGGCTCTAAACTGGACTTGGGGAAGCTGGGTGATGGCCTCACAATGCAGCTGCCCCTGGGCCCGGCCCCTGCATGTCATTCCCAGGTGCTTGCAATAATTCAGGGCAAAAGAGGCAGCTGCCTGATGGAAGAATGTTTCAAGATGTTGTGGGCTGCATGCTTGTGTCCCCCCCCAAATGGATATGTTGAAGCCCTAACCCCCAGTGGGATGGTATTAGGAGGTGGGTTTTTGGGGAGGTGATTAGGGTTAGATGAGGTCTTGAGGGTGGGGCTCCCATGATGGGAATAGCATGGATTAGAGAAAGAGACTAGAGCTCACTCCCTTCACCGTGAAGATACCGTGAGAAGATGGCTACCTGCAAACCAAGAGAAGAGCCCCTGCCAGATACCAGATTTGTCAACACCTTGATCTTGGACTTCACAGCCTTCACAACTGTGAGAAATGCCTGCTGCGTAAGCCACCCACGTTTTGGTATTTTGTGATAACCTGAGCAGACAGACATAAGACAACTGCTGACATATTAATTAATGCTTATTGTATTTTACCTCCCACATCTGTTCCAAGCAGAGAGCCAGGCTTTGCAATTCTTGAGACAGCGGGCGGGTGGGTGGGTGGTCCAGGAGGGACCAGGTCTGATTATCACAGGGGTCTCTCCAGCGCTTTATGCTGCTTGAGGCTCTGGGGGCTTTGTCCAGTCCTGGGCATGGAGAGGAGCCCAGTAATGACTGGAGTTGAATTTCCCACAAGCCTGGAAGGTTGGAGCTTAGAATGAAAGAAAATAAAGTACAACCTTTCTTGCACACCAGAGTCATGGACTAACACACGTGGCTCACAGTGTTAATCTACACATCACATCCCCAGCTGCTGGCACTACAAGTGCTGGCACGAGGTGGCAGAGTTTGCTAAAACCAGGTCAATGTAGCTGAGCAGATGACCCCAGACTCCCAAGAAGGGACCTAGTAGGACTGTACTCACGGTTCTCTTCCCCCCGTCCTCCTCCTCACATTCTTTAACATATTTCCTAGGGATGCCACGACCACGTATCCAAGTCCTCTACCCAGCTCCTGCTGAGCTCCTCGGCCTTTGCTTACTCTCCTGGGAGGCCTTGGAACTGTCTCTCCATTAAGTTGGTCTCTTCCCAGGAAGAGAGCCGGACCCACGTGTGTCCTTTCTCTGTCTGGTGTCCCCCAGCGCCCACACAGCCCCCGATGCACAGGGCTCTGAGCGCACTCTGCAAAGGCTGCGGGCGCAGCAGCCCAGCTGGGGGTAACAGCAGCACCTCGGGGTGGGGAGGGGGGAGTAGGGCCTCGAAAGTTTGGGCATGAGCTTTGTTTCCCGAGTGTCACACGTGGTCAGGATGCCAGATGCCATCTGGACCCTGTGCTTCCCCAGGCCCCCCTTCCCCCCTCGGGCCTGGCCGTGGCCTGTGCTGGAGGAAGGGCCTTCTTGGGGGGCAGTGAGGGGTCGCCCGGCACAGGCTCAGCGGGAGACTGTGGTGTTGCCATCCGTGCCCACGTGGGTGCTGTCTGCTCCCAAGGGGGCTTCTGCGGGCGAGTCCCTCTACTTTCTTGGCTGACGAGCAGGTTCACGTTTCTTTCACATCAGAAAGATAAACATTCAGAGGGAAGGTTGCTCTGAAGGAACACCAGCCTCCAAATCACAGAAGAGGAGGGAAAACCACAAGCAGCTCCCCTGCGGGCCCCGGCACATTCGAACCAGGGTGGCTCTGCCCCGACAGGCCAGGCGGGCCAGGCCGCTGCTCCACGCCTGCTCCTCAGCCCAGGTGAGCCCAGCAGCGGCTGCTCACGGCCTTGAGAATTCACCACGCATTACAGGCGCTCGTGTCAGGGCTCCGTCCCAGACATCAGGGGTCAGCGTCGGGGCTCACAGAAGCTTGTGGGGTGCTGAGGTCGAGGGATGAATTTGCACAGGGAGGTTCTCACCCACAGGGAGACCTTGAGCATGCAACAGGTGCTACGGCAATGTGACTTCTGCCTGGAGGGAGGAGGCTGGTTGGGGGTTGGGATCTACTGCACGGAGTTACCTGGTGAGCTTTCAAAAATCCTGATGTCCCAGACTGTCAGGGGTGTGGTGAGGAGGGACCCAAGTATCAGTGTTTTTAAAGCTCTCCAGGTGGTTGCCGTGGCATCCAGAACTGAGAACTTGTCACTTCACCCGAACTTCCTCCCAGTGCCCTGTGGCGAACACAGAAAGCTCTCCTTCCTCCCTATGAAGTAGTGATTACACACGTGTAATTAAGCAAGAACAACATCCAGCCACAGCCCTGCCTGCTGAGTTCATGAGCAGGTGACAGGTGTGCTTGAAAACAACAAAGCAAAGGCTTTCGGTCAAAATTAGAAAAGAGCAAGTTGCCTTCTTAAGAACAAAACCTCTCACCAGTTTGGGGGCGCGGTGGAGGGGTGCCCTCAGTTATTTTGTAGCCAAACTGCCGCTTGGGAAATTGCCACTAACCTGAGTGACCTCAGTCAAGGCTCACTATGGATCTTATGGGGATCACCCAGGGGTTTAAAAAAAAAAAAGGTGGCAAAAAACTCAACTGTCTTCTCCTAGAGACAGAACTTCACAATCACAAATGAGGGAGGATGGTATAAGCAGTGTTTAAAGATCTCTTACAAGCGCAGTCTGGGAGGTGGTTACACCCAGAGACAGAGCCCACACCAGCAGGGTGAACGAAGGAAGAAGGCAAGGGTCCTAACGCGGCGCCAAGCCACCCCACCCAGCACAGCGCCGCAGCAAGGCCAGCAGCAGCACCCCGGGGCGGTGTGACATCGTGCAACAGCCCCGAGGGACTGTCCACCGACAGCAGCACACACGGGTTCCAAACAGGCGGCATCCCAGTGAATTCAGACGTGACCATGCGTCCTCTGGCAACCGCACGGGTGACTCAGAAAGCAAGCGGAGCTAGTGATGACAAGACAGACACTGCAAATGTTTGGTCGCATCATACAAGATCGCTTAGAGTCAACCATTTTGACCCCATGAAAGCTGCAATTTCATGAGGCTCAATTTTATAATAGTCTAGAGAAATAAAATAGTATTTCTAGATACAAATGTTTATAATACATAACTTTAAATAAGAATGTATAACTACCTTAATCAGTTACATATTTTAAGCTCACCTTTGACTAGTCCACCTATACCATTAAAAACTTTTGCATGTGAATTGGTCATATAATTAAAAAAATAAAAACCTTGCTCTCTGGGAAAACGGGATCACCATATAATCAGGGCTTATTTCTGTGACTATTTGGCATACCTGAGGCCTCCTTTTGGAAAAGGGGAATATATCTACTGATCTATAAGCATCGCCAGCATCCCTTTTCACTTCAGATGTTCACTGGGGCCATCTGCCATGGTGCCGCCTGCTGCAAAACATGCACCCAGGAGGGAAAGCTACTGTCTTCATATTCCTTCTTGGAGAGAGGGGCATCGGGCGGGGCAGGGGCTGTTGGGCTCCTAGGGAGGAAGATGTGCACAGGCTAACAGAGCGGCCCATCTCGATCCCCCACATCTCCTGACAAGGCGGCACCCAGGCCCTGCTGGCTGGGGATTCAGCCAGGCTGATTCACTTCTGTTGCAGAGCTGAGAGCTCCAGGCAGGGCTGCCATTTCCTCTGCAGGTGCCATTAACATGTGAAAATCACACAAAGGCAAGGGCTCGATCCTGTGGTTCTGTGAAAAGCAAGTGCAAAATGGACAGGGTCTCTGCCTGGAAATCGCTGACGACCACGGTAAGACTCACATGTTGGGGGTGACCTTGAAGACACACGTCCCCTCTGACAGTTCTTAGTCTTGTTCAACCTGCTCTGGGGCCAGGGGAATGGACGAGCACTTTGGTGTCTCCGGCACGTGCAGGTGGCATGCTTGCTCCTCCGTGGGCCCTCTCTTCGGACTCCACGGCAGTGTGGAACGTTCCACAACAATGCTCAGAGGCTGACGCTGGCCACTGAGCATGGCACGAGTCAGTGTCTTGCCCAGGGTCCCAGAATTAGCAAGTGGCAGAAGAGGGACAGGACCCTCGCAGAGCCATGCCATGGACCAAATTCCATCCTCCCGTACGAGTTAGAGGTCGTACTGGATGGAACCCTGATGGGAAGCCAGGAATCAAAAACCAGGTCGCTGCCCATCCCACCATTTACTCATTATCTTTACTAGCAGGGGTCACTGGCCTTTAATTCTCCAGTTCATAAAAAGAATGGCTCAGTGAGATCATGGAAGGGTGTGTCCAAAGTTCTTCCAGGGGTGTCTGTCCTCACTGCTCACCAGCGCCCCCAGGTGAGAGGAGGAGGTGGGGCGGGGGGCGTCCCAACGGCTCTGCCCCATAGGGATACTCTTATCAGGATTAGGTTTTGCTAAATTCCAGCTGGAGTCCGAGGGGGTGCTGTTCACACAGCTGTGGGCTGAGGGTGGCTTGGGCTCACGTGGAAGCATGTTTGAGAACGCTGGGGCACTTGCTTATCCACCCAGAGCTGCATCTGAGCCAGCTCTGTAGCGGGAGCTTCCTCGTATCAGGTGAGATGACAAACAGGTCACAGGTGACATGTACAGAAACCATCACACTTTTGTTCAACACAGATGTGTGTGTGTACCTATGTAAAAGTCTGAGAGACAAACCCTTAAAAAACTTCTAAACCATGTTATCATATGGTTTCCAGGATTAATTTTCCTTTTTGTGTGTTCTGTAGTAAGAAACATCTGTGTGATTAAAATAAAAATGGCAAATTCTGCCAAGGACCCCTGTATGTAACCTGCTGGTGGCTCACCTTCCACACCGGCTGCGTTTGCGTTTGAGTTGAGGTGGTGCCGAGCCACCCTTTGGCCTAAAATCCACACGTAATACCCCCTCCTGGGCTGGGGTTCTGCTGGGGGCATGCAGTGTGGGGCACCGGGCGGTACCCCGGAGGGCGAGCCAGCATGCTACATCCCCACACTTACTAGCTGTGTGGCCTCAGGC